TGGCCACAGGACATTGCATTGGCTGGACTACCAATCTGATTTAGAATAACAGTCCTTTTATTCTATTAAGCACGTCTCAGTACAGAGTCAGGTTTCAACTAGTACTGATGGCCATGAAACACTAAAACCACAGCCCAACCTACCTAGTAGAAAACTGGCACAATTCTTCTCACAGAGAATACAGCGTGGCAAAATTCTACTTATTTACTCATGCCATGTCCTACTTTTCAAATGAGGAGCAAAATATCAGGCGTATACTTTATCATTTTCCCCCACAAATTGCCAAAGTAATGACGATGAATGATTTCGTACCTGGACGGCTAAATTCACATGACAGTTCTGCAAGGGAGGTTTAAGGGAAGTAAGATTTGTGAATGTGAGTACAGGATTAGGTCCCACAAGCAGAATAGCCCTTTCAGCTCTCTATGTTGCTAGCACTCCTCTCAAACAGCACTTCCCTTTTTGCTTGTTCCTTGGATGTGGGAAAGATTTGTTTTCAGGTGTGTATGCCTGTAGCACTTGTTCAGGGTTTAGCTGCAAGCTGATCCCAGATGCAGCCGGCAGCAACGCTTTTGCAGGGTCCCTTGTTCCAGCCGACTACTGCTGACCACAGCTCTCATTTCCTCTCTGGGCGAATGTGAAATGAATGCTATCATAACAGCCTTTCTTAACACAGGCCAAAGAGAAAAGATCTTTTTCTGTTTTGTATTTGACCACGCTGCATTTCAAATACATGAGCTCACCTCCATGAAACTGGTGGGATTTATTCCTTTCGCCATATGTAGTACAACTTCTACCAGGATCATCGTGCAGCAACTTTTTTTATTCATTTGCCCAGCAGACAATCATCCTAAAATGATCTCCAGCACGTACCAGCTGTCCTGGATGCTCCATTTGTTTGTGTTGTGTCATCACAGCTGAGAGCTGGGCGGAAAAAAATGTGATATAAATGTCAACCGTAGAGTAAACCTGGTACTATGAACCTTTCAGGACAGAAACTCTTGATGTGTGCTTGTATATGCTGTGCCTAAGACAGTGCAGCCATAACTGTAGATTCAAATATGTAATAATAAGAATAAAAAAAGCTAATTCTCCTTGCCGTCTCTTGGACAGCACAGCTGTGTGTCAAGGAGAGAAGCTGATCCTCATTTATACAATACTTGGCAGAAAAGTTGACCAACCTGAGTGCGTACATGAAGCAGCAAGGACAGTCCCCTGACTCCTCCTGTACGCCACTGCTTCACCAACATGAAATGCATGATCCTTCCTTTTAATGGACTGTTAAACCAGAGGCAAGAAAGCAAATCCCATAGAAACATGCTGATTTAGGCTCCGTGTCTTCTGCATTCTCTCCAATGGTTTTGTCCCATGGACGTGCTTATCTTTATGCGCCACAGATGAGCTCATCCATCTAAATAATTTTAAAAAGCCATCTCCAACGCAGCAGATGAGCCCTGCTGCTGCTTGCCTTGCTGACCCCTCATCCAGTTTGCCTGTGCTTGTTGGTGTTCTTGCTTTCCTGATGTGCTTGAGCACATGGACTTCTTGATGCTCAATCGAAGGGTATTTCCATATAACCTTTGGCAATTCACCACCACAATTACGAAGCCCTGCTGTCTGCCCTGCCTCCTTGCAGCAGAGGAGGTGGGAAGGGCCATGCATCTTCCCCTCAGCTGTCACAGCACGGCCAAGGACATCATTTTGAGTTGCCACCAATTTCAGTTTACATGAGGAGACGGCTGTGAGTTGCAGTGCCTGAAAAGCAGACACGGCGCCTATTCTCCCACCCCTCTGGTGAGAGTGCTAGTGGGGAGGGCATGGGCAGGGCACCTCCTAAATTACCTTGAGATCACCTTGAGGCACCTGTACAGGGCTGCTGTCTGCATGGAGTGAAGGACTGGTCTGCAGGATGGCCTTGGAGCGGATCTCAAGAGCCTGTTTAAACTTAAGCTCTTGTATGTAAGTTGGTGGTTGTTTTTTTTTTTCAGGGCAAAGCCCACATTAATAACATTCTAAGTATAAACTCTGTTCAGCAAGATCTATTTATAATTCTTCAGTCTGTCACTGATTCAACCAGAAAGTCATATGTGCCCAGGAATGCATATGATTTAGGATGGAGAGACAGCCTTCAGGGCTCATCCCTTGGACCTTCATCTATGAGTATTATTATTTAGATACTTTACAAAAAAAAAAAAAAAAAGAATGAGGAACCCTTTTCTGTCTCTCAAAGTTACTCGATTGGAGAAAAAGCAAGCAATGCTTCAACAATATGCTAATACTCCCACAAACACAAGCCTTTTTATTCTGCTGGGGTCTAGAAGACCTGCCTGAGATTGGGGATGATGCTACAAGGTGGCTATACAACCATTTATCGGGGAGAGTCACAGTCACAGCATCGTTTGGGTTGGAAAGGACCTCTGGAGGTCATCTACTCCAACCCCTGCTCAAGCAGGGTCAGCCGGAGCAGGTTGTCCATGACCGTGTCCAGTTGGGTTTTGAGTATCTCCACAGACGGAGGCTCCACAACCGCTTTGGGCAACCAGTGCTAGTGTTTGGTCACCCTAACAGTAAAAAAAAAGTATTTTCCTATGTTCAGATTGAATTTACTGTTTTTTATTTTGTCCCCATTGCCTCTTGTCCTGTCAGTGGCAGTCAGCCTGGATCCCTCTTCTTCATTCCTTCCCACAGGGCACTTACACTGGTGAGAACCCCTCAAGCCCTCTCTTCCCCGGGGCTGAACAGTCCCAGCTCTCAGCCTCTTCTCCTTGTGAGAGATACCTCCCAAAAATGTACTCGCTGAGCAAACTCGGCTGACCAGAGGATGACGTGCCTTAAGTCACACGTGTGACAGCATGGGATCCTCACAGAGATCACGCGAGTGGGGCCACTTCTGCTGGCCCCAAACTCTTCTCCTAGGCATCAGACAGGGGTGCTTGCTGTCAAATCTGTCTTCTGAAGTTGGTATCTTCATGCTATTTTGGAGCAGAGTATGAAGAAAAGAATTATAAACCCTGTAAGGGGCAGTGTCTTGCCAGGGGTTGCCTTTGCTGCATGGACTCATAGGGAAGAAAGGCAGCCTCAAACTTTCAGTATTAAAGGGAACAACTCTGCCTTAATTTCCTGTGGTTTTACATGAGTTCTGTCCCCAAAGGAACCAGGCTGCATCTGTCACAAGCTCCATCTACTTGATTTTCTTGGTATTTTTTTTTTTCTTGGACAATCTTGCAGTAGCGGCTTATGAATGTGTCTCTCCACACCCCTCTCAAAAGGCCTGCTCATTCTTCAATAGATCTGGACCTCGTGTAGGATTTTTTTGTGTCTTCGGGGTGGGACGCATTTTTCACCAGGCACAGCCTTTCTTTGTTGAACACTGGTACCTGTGAGCAGCCTGGAATAAGGGATAAAAAAACCCGCTATGGACACCATTTCGGATAAGGCGGTGCTGTAACAAACCAGGATGGCTTCTGAAGGTGACATTTTACACACCAAGTGCCCCTTCTGCAGATGTTTCCAAGTTGGAGGTCATTGTTTCCACCATGAATCTTACAGGAGCTTTTTTCATTAACAGAACTACACAGTTTGGGGAAAAAAAAAAAAAACCTTAATATTTCAAACTGTAAAAAAAATAATGTAAGAAATGAGAAATACAAAGGAATGCTGCACAGGCTCAGACTTGCGGATCTGGGGTGCAAAAAAATAAAACACCCCAAACCAATAAAATAAAAATTCCCCCTCCCCCCCCCCTTTTTTTTTCTTTGGAAGCTGTCCAAGAGTACAGCCCACAGCCCACTCGTTGGGAATGGGATCTATGGAGATCATAGAATCATAGAATGTTTTGGGTTGGAAGGGACCCCTAGAGGTCATCTAGCCCAACCCCCTGCAGTGAGCAGGGACACCGCTAACTAGATCAGGCTGCCCAGAGCCCCATCCAACCTGGCCTTGAATGCTTCCAGGGATGGGGGCTCCACTACCTCTCTGGGCAACCTGTTCCAGTGTTTCACTACCCTCTTTGTAAAGAATTTCTTCCTTATATCTAGTCTAAACCTACCCTGGTTTAGTTTAAAACCATTACCCCTTGTC